TTCTCAGTTTCCTTCTTTCCCTTTACCTCCCTGGTTACTTTCCATTTTCCTGGTTCCTGCAGTTATATCAGGATATATTCTCACACATAAGGATTTGGTACTAGGATCCACAAATGAGGGAGAACATACATTGTTTGTTTTTCTGAGTCTGTGTTACTTCATTTAGTATAACAGTTTTTAGTTCCACTTACCCATAAATTTAATTATTTAATCTTTCTTTACTGCTGAGTACAGCTCCATTTTGTAAATGTACCACATTTTATTATCCACTCATTAGTTGAGGGACACTTAGGTTGCTTCAATCTCTGAGCTATTGTGAAAGGGCAGCAACAAACATGGTTGTGCAAGTGTCTCTTCAATAGGATGAATCCTTTGGGTATATGCCAAGGAATGGTGTAACCAGGTCATATGGTAGGTTCATTTTTAGTTTTTGAGAGTTCTCCACACTGCTTTCAATAGGGATGCACAAATTTGCAATCCCACAAGCAGTGAATGAGCATTCCCCTTTTTCCACATCCTTGCCAGCATTTGGTATCTTTTGTTCTTTTGATCTTAGCCAATATGATTGGGGTAAGACGAAATCTTAAAGTGGTTTTAATTTGCATTTCCCTGATTACTAGCGATGTTGAACATTTTTAAAGATGTTTCTTAGTCCTCTTTATTTCTTCTTTTGGGAACTCTCTGTTCACATCTTTAGCCCATCTTTTAATCGGGCCATTTGTTTTCTTGATTCTTTGTTTTTTGAGTTCTTTGTATATTCTGAATGTTAAACCTCTGTCAGATGCATCACTGGTGATTTTCTCCCATTCTGTATTTTTCTTCATTTTTTGGTTGGTTGTTTTTCGGTACATAAACTTTTTTAGTTTAATGAGGTCCCACTTGTTGGTCTTAATTCCTGAACAACTGATGTCTGATTTAGAAAGTCCTGTCCTGCACTTTCTAGGTTACTCCCAATGTTTTCTTCTAACAGTTTCAGAGCTTCAGGTTTCACATTGAGGTCTTTGATCCATTTGGAGTTGACTTTCGTGCAAGGTGAAACATAAGCATCTAGTTTTATTCTTCTATAGGTGGAGATCCAGTTTTTCCAGCAATGTTTGTTGAAGATGCTGTCTTTCCGCCATTGTGCGTTCTTGGCGCCTTTGTCAAATATCAGGTGGCTGAAATGTGTGTACTCAGGTTTGGGTCTTCAATTATGTTCCATTGATCTATGTGTCTGTTTTTGTCTATTTTGTGCCAGTACTATAGTTCTGTAATATAGCTTGAGATTGGTATAGTAATCCATCCAGTGTTGCTCTTTGTGCTCAGGGTTGCTTGGCTATCTGGGGTCTTTAATGCTTCCATATGAATTTTAGGATGTGTTTTTATAATTCTCTGAAGAATGTCATAGGGGTTTTGTTGAGATTGCATTAATTGTCTATGTTGCTTTTGGTAGAATGTTAGTTTTCACAATACTAATCATTCCAATCCATGAGCATGGGTGGTCCTATCATTTTCTGGTGTCTTCCTCAATCTCTTTAAAACTTTAAAATTTTCATTGTAGACATCTTTGATGTCTTTGGTCAGGTTTATTCTGAGATATTTTATTTTCCTTGAGGCTGTTGTGAGTGGAAGTGTTTCCATGGGTTCTTTCTCTAATTGCTTGTTATCGGTATATAGAAAGGCTACTGATTTTTGTAGATTGATTTTGTACCCTGTCACCTTCCTGTCAATCAGCTGTAGGAGTTTTCTGTTGGAATTTTTGGGCTCTCTTAAGCATAGTATCATATCATCTGCAAAAAGGGATAATTTGACCTCTTTTCCAATGAGTAACAATTTAATTTCCTTCTCTTGTCTTACTGCTCTAGCAAGAGTTTCAAGCACTATATTGGAAAGGAGTGAAGATAGTGGACAGCCTTGTCTGGTTCCTGATTGTAATGGGAATGTGTACAGATTTTTTTCCATTTAGAATAATGTTGGCTGTGGTTTTGTTGTATATAGCTTTAATTATGTTGAGATATGTTCCCTCCAGTCCAATTCCCTTTAGGACTTTTATCATGAATGCATGTTGAATTTTGTCAAAGGCCTTTTCTGCACCTATTGAGATGACCATGTGATTTTTGTCTTTGATCTCATTTATATGATTTATGGTGTTTATTGACATGTATATTGAACCATCCCTGCATCTCTGGAATAAACGTACTTGATCATGGTGAATGATCTTTTTGATGTGTGTCTGTATATGTTTTGCAAGTATTTTGTTGAGAACTTTGACATTCATGTTCATTAAGGATATGCATTTATAGTTTTCTTTTTTGATTGTGTCTTTACCTGGTTCAGGTATTAGAGTGATACTGGCTTCATAGAAGGAATTTGGAAGTTCTCCCTCTGTTTCTATCTTTTAATTTAAGTAGTACTGGATGTAGATCTTCTTCAAGTGTTTGGTAGAATTCTTCTATGAATCCATCTGGGCCTGGGCTTTTTTAGTCAGGAGGTTTTGTATTACTGTTTCAATTTCCTTATATGTTATGAGTCTGCTTAAACTGTTGATCTCTTCTTGATTTAGCTTTGGTGAATCCCATGATTTTAGATATCCATCCATTTCTTTTAGGTTTTCAAATTTAATAGAGCATAGGTTTTTAAAGTATTCCCCTATAATGTTCTGGATCTTTTTGGTGTCTGTTGTGATGTTTCCCCTTTCATCTCTGATTTTGTTGATTTGGATTTGTTCTTTCTCTTTTTTTGGTTAACTGGGCTGAGTGTCTATCTTGTTTAGCTTTTCAAAGAACCAGCTCTTAGATTCATTGATTCTTTGTATTGTTTTCTTTGTTTCTATTTCATTAATTTCTGCTCTGATTTTTGTTATTTCTTCTCATGTGCTGGATTTGGGTTTTATTTGTTCTTGCCTTTCCAGAGTCTTGAGTTGCAATGTTAAGTCATCTATCTGTGCTCTTTCTGATTGTTTAATATAGGTACTTACAGCAATAAACTTCCCTTTTAGGACTGCTTGAAAATGTCCCAGGTTGTTGTGTTGCATTATCCTTTTCATTTAGTTCCAGAAATATTTTATTTCTTTCTTACTTCCTTCTTTGACCTATCTGTCATTCAGGAGTATGCTGTTTAATCTCCATGAGTTCATGTAGTTACTAAGGTTTCTTTCGGTGTTGATTTTAAGCTTTATTGTTTTGTGGTCTCATAGAATGCATGGAATTACTTAAATTTTTTTTGTATTTGTTGAGGTTTGTTTTGTGTCCCAGTACATGGTCACTTTTAGAGAAAGTTCCATGGGGTGCTGAATAGAAAGTGTATTCTTTGTTGCTTGGGTGGAATATTCTGTAGATGTCTGTCATTTGTTGTATGGTATCATTTAATTTGGATGTCTCTCTGCTTATCCTTTGTCCAGTTGAACTGTCTAATGGAGACAGTGGGGTGTTGAAGTCCTCTAGTATTACTGAGTTGGGGTTAATCTGTGTCCTAAAGTCATGTAGTACTGTTTTTATGAAATTGGGTGTACCAGAGTTTGGTGTATACCTGTTTATGATTGTAATGTCTTCTTGGTCAGTTGTTCCTTTGATCAGGATGAAGTGACCCTCTTTATCAATTCTGATTAGTTTTAGTTTGAAGTCTTATTTTGTCAGGTATTAGAATTGCACTTCCTGCTTGTTTCTTAGTGCTATTTGCTTGGAATATTCTTTTCTATCCTTTCACCTTAAGGTAGTGCCTGTCTTAAGTGAAAGTGAGATGGGTTTCTTGCAGACAATAAAAGAATGGATTTTGTTTCTTAATCTATTCAACTAGCCTGTATCTTTTGACTGGAGAGTTCAGTCCATTGATATTTAAAGTTATTATTGAAAGATATATATTGGTTGCCATCATTTTAATATCTGTTTCATTCTTGGTCTACATATATGTTTCTACAATTATACCTTCATTTAGTGTCTTTCTGTTGCCCCTTGGGTATAGCTGTTCCTTTTTTTCCATTCTTTGTATTGCATTAACTGTTCTCTGAAGGGCTGGTTTTGTGGACATGTATTCTTTCAGCCTATTCATGTTGTGGAAGATTTTTCTTTCCCTTCAACTATAATAGGCATTTTTGCTGGTAAGTATTCTGGGTTGGCATCTATGGTCATTTAGAACTGGGAATACTTTGGCCCAGGCTCTTTTGGCTTTCATAATTTGCACTGAAAAGTCAGCTCTAATTTCGATGGCTTTTCCTTTGTACGTGACTTGTTTGTTTTTTTCTTTGCAGCTTTCAGTGTTCTTCTTCTGTACGTTTAGTGTTTTCACTGTGCTGTGCCATGGAGAATTTCTTTTCTGCTCCTGTCTATTTGGTGTTCCATTTGCCTTTTTGTACTTGCATGGGGATGTTTTTCCTTAATTTTGGGAACTTTTCTTCTACAATCCTGTTTAAAATATGGTCAAGACCATTAACCTGAAATTCTTCTCATTCCTCTGTGCCTATGATGTGTAAAGTTTTTCTTTTCGTGGTGTCCCACATTTCCTGCATATTCAATTCCCGTGTTTTTTAAAAGAATTCTTGAAATAAATTTTAAAAAAATCTTTGCTGAGCAGTTCAATTCTTCAACTTTATAGTCCAGTCTTGATACTCTGCTCTCCGTTTCATTCCTCCTGTTGGTGAGCTTTCTTCTGTCATTTCTAATTGTTTTACTGAGCTTTTTACTTCCTTCTTCATTTCAGTCTGAGTTTTCTTCAGTATTTCCATCTCTTTTGTGAATTCAGTTAGAAGCCAGTCTTTTCTTGCTTTTTCTTTAAATGCAATGAGAATTTGGACAAGGAAGAAAAAAAATTAAACAGTTTTCCTGACAGGGACTGTTCTGGTCATGTTTTGGCCATAGAGCTGTTAGAACTAAAGTTGGAAATCATCCTGTTACAGAAGAGATGTAAAAATCATGCTGTGTTAACCGTATTGCTTTCCTTAGTGAGCTTAACCTCTGTTAACGAGCCTGCATGAAACACTTTCCGAGATCTTTAATACACCTTTATTTTAAAAATTCTCTTTATAGGTAAAGATAAGATGAAAGTATCTGAGGAGGACTTGAAGCAGCTCCTTTTAATTAAGTGGTGTATTCTGGAAGCCATCCGCTTACGAGCCCCTGGTGTCATTACAAGAAAAGTAGTGAAGCCAGTTACAATTTTGGTAAGTCCTGGTTTCATTTGAAATAGGATGAACCATCTCAAAAATGTCTATATTTTGATCATATATTTTATTTTTAGATTGATATATATACTTAATTTATTATAACTGAATAAATTTGCATGTATTCATCATACAGAACACACT